TTTTTCCAAGCAAGAGAACAATCAAGAGCCTGCCTGTCCAGCTTCTGCAAACAAAATATTACACACGCACAAAGCTCACAGCGAAACACACCTTAAAAGAACTTTGCAGTGATGATTCCTGGAGGCACCATCATCTCCCCAACCCATTTTAATATTCACAACTTTAAAAAAAAGAAAAAAGCACACCGCTTCCTCGGCAAGCTTTCGAGAGCTGCAGCTCGCTTATTAAGATGCTATTTGCTTTCAATTTGCGTACAACCGTCCACATCCGCAATGTTTCCAAGAAAAATGGGCACGCACGGATTTCTGCCTGGAGGATGTCAAAATGTACATCTTGACAAGGGAGGACAAGAGAGCTATAGAAAGGACAGGAACACGAGGTAAGGAACACCACGTAAGCCACCTGCAATTGCCCTAGTTTTACCTTATGTATATTGTCAACTTTTTGCATTGACAATGAAAAGAAATTGAAACAGCCTGAGATTGTGTGTGCCTTGATTCAACCATCGAGCCAAAGGGAGAGCGCAGCCAAGAAATCAGAAGGCGACGGAGACCCGGAAGTGCAGCCACGAAAAGATCATCAAGTGTCAGGGTGTGTCCCACGGAGACCAAGATCATCCACGCTCTTGTATTTCCAGTTACCATGCATGGATCTGAAAGCTGGGAGAGTAAAGAAAGGTGACACAAAAAAAAATAAAAATTAAAAAAAAAAGGATTTGTTTGAAATTTGGTGAATGTGAAAGCTGGGACAGTAAAGAAAGGTGACACACAAAAAAATAAATTAAAAAAAAGGATTTGTTTGAAATTTGGTGCTGGAGGAGAGCTCTGTGTATACTATGGATGGCCAGAAAGACAGAAAAAGGGGGTCCTAGATCAAATTGAGTCCGAACTCTCTCCTCGATCTCTCTCTGGAAGCAAAAATGATGAAGCTGAGGCTGTCCTCCTCATCAAGGGGAGTTGATGGCATGGAAGAACAAGCTTTTATTTTAGTTTTGACGCCAACTAAGAGCCCAGGAGCGGAAAGTCCAGGGATGTGCAAACAGGTGTGCATTCACAGCATCATGACGCTGCGGACCCTACCACCAAGGAGCAGAAGCTGGTGGGCAGGAAGGACACATAACAAACTACTTTTCCCCGTGATCATGTTGTAACTACATCCCAAGAGAGAAAATCAAGGACAACCGAGGCATCTTTATTGGTACAAGAAGTCATGTCCTCTATTCACTTTCAAAAGTTACTTTTAAAGGGATGTTTGACAGGGAGGGCAGTTCTACCTGACTTACTTACAGACCCCTAAATGTAGTTCATCGAGGGGAGGCTAAACTGGAAGACTTTCACACACGTCTGGACACACAACACAGCAGTCTTTCGGGGGGAAATCCACAAACTCAAAGCACCCTTTTCTCGAAGGGAAGAGACTTCTCTACCGCCGGTTTCTTCCTAAATGATATTCCAGACCACATAGAGGGTGGATCGGTTTGGCAGAATAAAATGAAGAGAGCTTGTTTTAACCTTAAATGGTGAAGGGTTTTGGTGATTCCCAAACGTGTTGAGTGACTTTGAATAAACACATCGAGGATTTTTGAGAATTACGTTTCTCTCTTGGTACTGTTAAGCGTCTTGGGCTCCCAAAATTGAAAAGGGTCAAGCAAAGAGTTTGGTCTTTCTCAGCAAGGATAATCAGGGGACTGGAAACCAAGCTCTATGAGGAAAGACGGAGAGAACTGGTCAGGTTTAGTCTCCAGAAAAAAAGACTGAGGAGAGATAGGATAACATTCTCCAAATACCTGAAAAGCTGTCATACAGAGAAGGGGAAGGATTTAGGAGAGAACTGAGCAGGTTTAGCCTCCAGAAAAGAAGACTGAGGAGAGATAGGATAACATTCTCCAAATACCTGAAAAGCTGTCATACAGAGAAGGGGAAGGATTTATTCTTGACCAGCCTAGAATGTAGGAGACGCAACAAAGGGCTCAAGTTACAGGAAGCCAGATTTCAGGGAAAACCTCTTAACTGTTAGAACAGTACAACAATGGAACTAATTACCTATTTTTCACTCCATAAGACGCACCTTTCCATAAGACACACCAATTTTTTTAGGAGAAGAAAACAGGAAAATATAATCTGTTTTCTTCGCTCCATAAGACGCACAGACTTTCCACCCCTCTGTTTTGTGGGAAAAAAGTGCGTCTTATGGTGCAAAAAATACGGTATCTTAGGAAGTGGTGAACACTCCAAGGCTGAAGGCATTCCAGAGGAAATCCAACCACCATCTCTCCGATCTGCTTTGATTTGGATCCCTGCCTTGAGCAGGGGGTTGGACTGGATGGCCTTAAGAGGCCCCTTCCAACTCCACTGTTCTAGGATTCTACGATTTCTTGCTTCAGAGAGATAATCTTCAGAAGACTCTCCATATATTGTAAGTTATCATATAAACATTAAGGTACAGATATTTATACATCAAGCACGCAATGATGTTCGTTTGAGCACTTGAGTATGTACAATTTATTTTTTTACTACGGAAGCTTTAAGACACTATTCTCTCTTTTTTTAAAAATTGTTTGAAACAAAACCCAATCCATTTTTTTCCGCATTTTTTTTAAAAAGTCCCACACTTCCTGCAAAGGGACCGGAAAGGCGCGTACAAAAGATCAGAGCAGGAACTGCTGAGACAGGCGCTGCTTTGAAGGACGCCGTCCTGAACGCTAAAGGAGGATTTTTTTTCCCAAAACTCAGCATTATTTAAATGCCGTCGGACAACAATAAACAGAAGATGACAAGATGCCACTGTCCCACAGAAGCAATGGAACAAAAATATTGTGGGTTTCCTGCATTCCACAATTTAAAAACAACAACAAGACTGTGGATATTACCCTATTATTAACCCCAACTCAGAAAAAAAGCATCTCATCCTGAAAGGAATCCCGTTGTGTAGAAAGGGGTTCGATTAACAGAATGGGTTAAGCTTGGATCTCATATGTTTTTTAAGGTAAACAGATGGAATGACCATCTCCAGATAGGCGGGCCTAAGTAAGGGGACTCACTGTCAGCAGATTCGGGGCACAGTACCAAAAATTCGGGCTTGGGCTTCGGACCCAAAGATTTGCCAGCCTCCCCGGACATCTCTTAGTATCCTGTCAGAAGTTGGAATAAATAATGATCTGGACTACAAATTCCAGACTCTCCCAGAGATCCTGAGATCTGCAGTCCAAATAAGTAGCTTTTTCCAAACTCTAGGAGGCTACAGGAGGAGGAGAAGGGGACGACAGAGGATGAGATAGCTAGACAGGATCATGGAAGCGACCAACATGAATTTGACCCAACTCCGGGAGGCAGTGGAAGACAGGAGGGCCTGGCATGCTCTGGTCCATGGGGTCACGAAGAATCGGACATGGCTTAACAACTAAACAACAACAACAACAACAACAACAACAACAGGGGGCCACCCCAGAAGTGGCCCACAAGTGGACTGCTAGGAGTTGGACTTTCTCAGTGGTGGCCACTAAATTATGGAAGTCTCTCCCTGGGGAAGAGCGCCTGGCTCTGTCCCTCCTTAGATTCGGGGGGGATAGTAAAGACCTGGCTCTTTACTCAAGCTTTTCAAAAAATTTTGCCCCTGTATGATAATGATGAGGATGTTGAGTCTCTCCAATATTTGAAGACCTGCAGTATCCAGTGGATATTGTGATCCTACTGTATAATTTTTCTGTATCCATGCTTTTTGGTATCTGCAGGGGCAGGATTTGGAACTGGTCCCTCACAAGTACAGTGGTGCCTCGCATAACGTTTTTAATTGGTTCCAAAAAAAAAAACCTTATGCGAAAAAAACTTTATGCGAAACACCATTTCCCATAGGAATGCATTGGAAACCGGTTAATCCGTTCCAATAGGCACGGATTGGCATCCTTAAGCGAAAAAACCCATAGGAAACATTGTTAAACGATACACTGTTTCCTCCATTGGAATGTATTGAAGCCGACTCAATACATTTCAATGGCTTTGCGAAATCAATTTTTGCAAATTTAAGTGTGTCATAAAAGGGTCAAAAATGGTTTTAAATGCTTGGATTAGCTTCTGCACCCTCTAAAACGGATGCAAAAGTTAATTTGGCTTTGATCTGACTTTTCGTTAATTTATGGTGAATTTTTCCCCCCAACTTTTGACAGCTGTCAAAATCTGACAGCTCCATTGTTTCCTATGGGGGAGAAAAAAATTCACAAAAAATTAACGAAAAGTCAGATCAACGCCAAATTAAGTATGCACACATTTTAGAAGGTGCACTAACGATTCCAAGCATTTAAAACCGTTTTTCAACATGTTTTTCAACTTTTGTAATTGAAAAAATGAACATCGTTAAGTGAAGCAGGGGACCTAAAAAAAACGTTAAGCGAAGCATGGTCCCAAAATCGCTATGTGAAAATCGCCCATAGGGAAAAACGTTATACGAAGCACAATCTGACACTGAAAAAATAAACGTTAAGCGAAAAAAACGTTAAACGAAGCAAACGGCAATTCTACAGGACTCAGCATGTGCAATGACAAAGTTTGAGATGGTACAATTAGAAAAAGACTGAACAAGCATTGCTTGTTTGGAAAGGCCCTACTGTATTCCAGGGTACACGGCATCTACATACATGCTGAAATCATCAGCACGCCCATGGAGACGGCAACCTGGCATGCTCACTTCGCTGTGCGTTCACAGCCCCTTGCCTTTTATGCCACCTGGGCTCGGCTACGGTCTCCCTCTCTTAGCGTTCCAGTGGCCTTCCAGCAAAACCCCATTTCCACACTCGCTCCCCAGGTATTGAACCAACACGGCGTTGCCGAGGTGAGAAGCCCACCCACATACGCAGAAGATAACAGAGAACATCCTTTGAGGTAACAGAGAAACCTCCCTGGAAATGAAGGGCCAGAAGAGGAGGGGAAAGTTTAAAATATTACATACCCAACAAGCGCATGAAAAATACAACTACTGGAGGTGTTTCTGCGCTAGGCTCACTTACCAAAGGAATACCTGCAAAAGAGAGGGGAGGGAAAGTGTTAAAAAGGTAAGGTTTAAAGATTCCAGTAAGGTTTAAAACTTCCTAACTGTTAGAGCAGTACAGTCATGCCCCACTTTATGATTACCCCGCATTACGACGAATCCACTTCACAATGACGATGGTCTAAAAAGGTTTTTTTCGCTTTGCGATGATCGGTTCCCTGCTTCGGGAAAACAGAGTGGCTGTCTGTTCTGGACCTCCCTCCACCACAAGGCCAATGGGACTCCCATTTAATCTTCTTCTACACTGTTAAAGAGCCCCAGACTCTGAACCCTGGCACCCCTTAACCATTCCAGTAATCCGTTTTTTAAAAATCGTCGAGCATTCCCCCTCCCCCCAAAAAAGCAAATCTGTAAAATGAAAGCAACACCAAACCACGATCCAGAAAGGGTCTTCCTTTCAGTCAGGAGTGAAGTGGCCCTGTCCAATTGTACCATCAATTTATGAGACACTCTTAAGGCAAAAGTGCTTCGGCGGGGTTTAAGTAACATCTCCGGCAGCTGGTTTGAGTTGCCTGCTGCTAAGCTGCGGGCGTCCCACAGCGGACTCGGTGTGGGGGCGGGCGGAGAAGGAAACGCATTTACCGCGGTAGTAAACGAAAGCACTCAGCTGGATTTTTTTACTCCCGGTCCACTTTATTGTCGTCCCCAATCTTTTTAAGAACGGCCCAAAGAACCCCCTTCCAAAACCAAGGGGAAGGTTTCGATAAAAGAAAGGAATTTTAAAAGGAGAGAAAGGGCAAAAGTCCCAGTGATTTGTTACACACAAGCCACAACTCATGCGTGTACAGGAAAGTGTATCCCATCCAATTTTTATTTTGTTCGTTTTCTTGGGTTATTCACGGGTTACTGTGTTCCTCCAGGCCACTGGATGTGAGGACTAGAACCTTGATACTATTTACACAACACTGTACACCGAGATGAAAATCCAGATGGCCAAGAAACCGCACATCTCGGTGTGTCCCTAAGGCGTCCGGCTTCCGTCTCCCTTTTCTCCTTTTGAATGCAAGAGTATAAGATCGAACTTCCGGAAACGTCCTCTCCCTGATGTGCTGCTTCTAACCATCCCTGACAGGAGACCCAACTCTCTATTTTCCCTCTATGACACTCAGGCACCAGCTTTGCACAATATGACGAGATTTCCTCAAACGCTCCTATTTTACCATCCAGACGGCTCCACTGTCGTTGTCGGCTGTGTTGTATTTAACCTGTCAGCTAAAACCTAAATCCGCTGAACACTCCGGGATGGGGGACTCGAGTCGTGGGACTTAAGTTGGACTTAAGTCCCACGAGTGACTTGATTTGGGCTTTGTTTTGTTTTTCCATTGACTCGTAACTTGGAGCCCACCCACCTCTCTTTTTTTTCTGAGGGGGGGAAGCTTGTTTTTAATAAGGGCCTTACGTACTTGGGGTCTAGGACTCAAGTTTTGGTATGAAGGACTCGGATTTGGGAATCAGACCCCAAAATGTACCCACATCCCTGTTACCACCTCGAAATATCCGTGGAATGACTCGCCAAGCTAGGCATCATCATCATCATCAAGTCTGATTGTCCCTCTGACCATCAGCGTTGAGGCTGCGATCCTGCCATTTCTATGCCCGTATTACAGGGTTAATTTTTAAATTTTATTTTATTGTCATTGTACCATATTTTTCCGTGTATAAGACTGCACTTTTGTCTAAAATCTTTAGACAAAAAATTGAGGGTCATCTTATACACGGATGTAAGCTGAGGAGAGAACAAAAACAAGTGGAAGGGGAAAACAGGGATCAAAGCGATCCTGCAGCACTTTGATCCCTTTCCCCCCTACACTTGCTAAGCCCCACTTAGATATCTTAATTTTGGATTAGAAAAGTGGGGGGCGTCTTATACACGGGGGTGTCTTATACACGGAAAAATACGGTATATGACGAAATTCACACAGACACCCAGAGACCAGGCCCACATGCACACACATAATACCTGTGGTCTACCTCACACGACCATTAGTAGGACTCCCAACAGATAACCTTAGGTGACATGCTTTGGCCGCTCTGGAAAGCTGCATTAATATGATTAGTACTAGGGCTCTCAATATGCTGAAGCGCTGAAATATCGTCAACCGTTCCAAATTGCTGTCGTCTTTTCCCTCTCAACACCCCAATTTCTCTTCACCGATAGGAGGTTCTGCGGGGTCTCCCCAACCCACAGACGGGCGTTTGATCTTTACATGATTAGATCCAAAGTATGGAAACACAGCAAACGCCGCTCAAGAACGGGAGGCAAATGATTCTTTTCTGACATGAGCCGTCACTAAGTTATAATTTCGGGAATGGGGGGGACGCCTTTTCAATTAGCTTCCTTCGCCCTGGCTTGTAAAGCAAAGCCGCAACTGCATCAGATGGTATTAATCTCTGCTTCATTAATATGTCACATCAGCTGCACACAGCATGCTTTGAAACTGATACACCCACCCCTCTTTCCCCGTCTACCGCCACCCCCCAACAACATAATATCAGCCAGAGGTGCTAGAATCAGCTTCCTGCACAAGGAAGGATAGATAACCCCTCTTCTCGGCCGCCACCCCCTTGAGAACTTTTAACTTCGGGGTTAAGTTTCTGGGAATAATTCTTTTTCCTCAAGGAGACGGACGGGGGAAAGAAGAGGGGGGAAAAGCAGAGGATGCAACACCGTGGCTGTTGTGCCGCCACCCCCTTGAGAACGTTTAACTTCGGGGTTAAGTTTCTAGAAATAATTCTTTTTCCTCAAGGAGACGGGGGGGAAAGAAGAGGGGGGGAAAGCAGAGGATGCAACACCGTGGCTGTTGACGGTAAATATAAAGGTATCCTTGACATTTAATGCTAAAGAAAAAAAAGAAAATATAATTTTAATTAGCATGTCATTCATGGTAAAAAGAGGTTTCCTCTCATCTTCCAAAAGGAAAACCTCTAGCAAGTCAAGTGTACTGTTGCTGTTCCCAAAATGGCTTCACTTCTCAAAAAGAGAGAGATTTTGAAATAACTTTCAAATCCCATCACCCATGCGGAGTTGGATTTAAGTGATGCTTTTTGGAGTGGCGTCTCACTAGCATCGACGGGGCTGGAGTTAAAAACCCTGTCTAGGTAGACCTCACCACCAATAACTTCATCTGGATCCAGTCTCTAGAAATGCCACGGAGACTTTGAAGGCAACCAAGCCTGGCTCCGTGGCTGGGAGAACGGCCCTGGGGGGGGTCGGCCCGTGTCAGCCTCGGAGAGGGCAGGGAAGACCACCGGGGCCTTCCGGGGAGATGAAAACCCCCATCAGGATTTGAATGAGGAAATTTCGGGGTCCCAGATCCATTCTTTTAGCCCAATTGAACTGCTCAGGGGTTTAGGTCTCTGTCTCTGGAGCCAGAAGTTGGGAGTTTGAATCCCAACCCCCATCAGGATTTGAATGAGAAAATTTCGGGGTCCCAGGTCCACTCTTTTAGCCCGACTGAACTGCCGCTCAGAGGTTTAGGTCTCTGTCTCTGGAGCCAGAAGTTGGGAGTTTGAATCCCCCACAGGGTCTCCTTGAGAGGAACTGGACTCCATGACCTATCAGGTCCCTTCCAGCCCTGCAGTTCTAAGACCTGTCAGGTCCCTTCCAGCCCTGCGGTTCTAAGATGATGTTATAAATACAACAACTTCAGGATGCTGACTATTTAGGGGAAAGACCCACCAGTACAACTTTGTAATTCCGCCGTCCTCTTCGGAGAGCTTAGAAAACTTATTTATAAATACAGTACAACAACTTCAGGATGCTGGCTATTTAGGGGAAAGGCCCGCCAGTACAACTTTGTAATTCTGTCGTCCTCTTCGGAGAGCTTAGAAAACTTATTTTCTCAGGTCAGTCACTCCCATTGCAATGCCAGTAGGCTAACTCCAGATGGGTCGGAAGGGAGACCCTTCCAGGGCTGACTTTGGAAACATAACAACAAAGGTTGAAATGTCCCCTTTGGAGAGGTGGATTGATACACCACCAAGGACATGATCGAGCCCATACAGGGGTCTCCGTGCAAGGCCAGGCCAGGCCAGCTGTTCTGGCTTCCACCTCCACAACTAGGGAAAAAAAACTTGGTTTAAATCCACTGGGCTCCAGAACGGAAGCCAGATTTGCCGATGGAAACCAGCCAGATTATGAACGGCCCAGTTTCACCAAAACATTTCTGGAGCCTCATCTCCAGAAAGGAGGGGACTTGACATGACATTTTCTTCCAGATCTGGAAATCTCAGGTATGAGCAGAGCAAACTCTGAAGTCCTAGATGATTGTTTGTGCTTCCTGTGATCTTTCCATGGAGGGGTTGCTACACTGCAGCCTTAAACAGAACCAGTAACAAACGGACCTTGAAGCACCATTGTCATACAAAAATTGTACTCAACACAAACTTCTGGTGGCCACAATGTATTTCCAAATCGTCAAAACATCTGCTAAAAATGATTCTCTCTTTTTTCATTCTAAGAGGTGTTCCAGTTTCAGAGGGGCTAGGGTTTTAATCCCAGACTGCCATTAACCCAACCCTAGTCCAGCCCACCTCCCACGGGCTCCTACCGGTTGTGTTTCTAAGCAGCGGGAATCATTCATACAAAAAAATGCATTTCCTGCTTCTTCCCCTCTCCAAAAGAGTCACTCAGAGGAGCCGGCAAAGACTAAAAACAGGCATCCGATGAAAACAATTATTAAAACAAGATCACCAGACCAAAAGCAGCATGGAAATCAAAACACACAAAGGAGCCTAAACAAATAACAACAAAGAGCTACATTGAGTAAAAGCAGAATCAAAAGCTGGTTTGGAAATAAACGTTTCGTATTTTCAATCACCGTAATAAGCACAAAGTCTGGGAAGAATGGATAGCCCAGGTAGGCAATCTTAAGGAAAGCCACTCCGAGACGTAGCGAAGTCCCAAACCATTAAGGGCTTTACAATTTGGCATGAAAGCAAAGAGGAATATTTCATAAATGATAGCGATGCCATTAAACCTCTATCATACGCCACAAATTCTAGTATGCACCATCACCTGGAAAATCTCTGCTACTGCTGAGGAATGTTTGACCCATAAGCCAGCTGCTGTCCTCATGGGATGTTCACCCAGCTCGCAAGCTTTTTTCTGTTTTGCTCTTATCTCCGATCAGCGATTGGAGATAAGACTCTGTTTAAAGCTTAGAATGGCCTTGCATAGAAATGAGCTGCAGAGGGGGAAAATGTTGCCGAGGCTTTTTCCCATATAGACATACACAAATTGATCTGTGCTTTCTCTGTTGAAAGCTTAGAACGGCCTTGTATAGAAATGAGCTGCAGAGTGGGAAAATGTTGCCGAGGCTTTTTCCCGTATAGACATACACAAATTGATCTGTGCTTTTTTTCCCTTGCTGAAAAAAATCTCCAAAATGGCAGGAATGACACCCAGTCCATAGGGGTTTGGTCCGTACCCCACCAAGTACATCGGTTCACAAGTCCCTTCCAAAACATGGATCTCCTGATCCAGGAGACGCACCCCTTCCTGTAAACTAAGGAGAAATGGACCCTTAAGGACATCTCCCAGGAAGCTTCCTTGCTTTGGCCCGTGAAAAATGAAAATAATAATTTTAGAGGGCAGGAGAGGGTGGAGACGCTGGCGCTGCTGAGGCTTCCTTCCCACATGGCGTTTTAGCCAGCTGGAGAGGAGTTGAAAAGAGTCAACGCTCCAGTCAGCAGCGTCTGGTATCTGAAGCCTGTGGCCCAAAACAAATAGATAAATGTTTTAAAAATTAAAATAAGAAAGGGACTTTAAAAGAATAAATTGTCCCCTGCCTGGCAGAAAAGACGGAAAGCTGCCTTTGCACTTCAAAAAACGGGGGGGGGGGGCATCCCAGTTATCTACCTTTGAACTAGCTTGCATCAGTAACCCTACACCGTGCGGCCATTTAACTCCAGATTTTACCTCTGACAACGGCATGCGCCAGATGTTAGGAAGCCAAAGTTCCAGAGAGGCCAGGTGCAGCAACCGGGTGCCAAGGAAAAAACTTTCCGGATGCTTCTGCACAGATGTCCTCTCTCCCTTTCTATCTGATGTGGCCGTAGCCACCCGGAAGTTCTTTTTTGGGGGAAGGCAACACAATGGGGGCAGGAGAAAAATCGCAATGGACAGGAAGCCCTGAATGACTGCATGGCAGGGACGGCTAGTCTTCTAGGGCATACGGAGCGCTGGTTCCACACACACACACACCGCTGACTCGTCCCTTCTCGTTTCCTCATCAGATGGGTACAGATGGGTATCTGGGTCCTGCCCGGGTTCCCCTCCTGCTCTCAATTCCCAGCCTCGTGACAGGATGAATACATGTGAGAGAGAGAGAGATCATGGAGAAGATGAGAAAAGAGCCGTTAACTACACTACCAGGAAAACCGAAATTCATAGTGACTACAGCTGTTGCACACGACGCACGGCCTTGTGCGGTTTAAAAAGGGTACCCATGCACACTTTTTTAAAAAACTGCCCCAAAGCCAGCCTAGGCAGCCTTGGGCAAGCTGCACAGACCCAGAAGAAGGGAAAGATGCAGTCGTGCCCCGCTGGACGATGACCCCGCTCTAAGACGAATCCGCATTACGTCGACGTTTTTGCGATCGCTGGCTGGAGAGCTCCATGGTTTAGGTATCTAGCTGCGGAGCCAGAGGTTGTGAGTTCGATTCCCCTGCTGGGCATCCTAGGAGAGGAGAGCCAGCCTAGGTGGCCTTGAGCAAGCTGCAAAGTCCCAGGGCACCCCCTCCCGCAGAAGAAGGCAAAGGGAAACCACATCTTGAGTATTCTGTCCCTAGAAAACCCTGGAAAGGGTTACTTTATGTCAGAGTTGACCTGAGGGCACACCAGGCGACATAGGACTTTGACTGCCCGTCAACCAGTGCTGGAAGACTTCCTGGTGACCTCAGAATAGTCCGACTGGCGACGTTGTTCTTGCTGGACGAGGGCGGGGGATGCAACACAGCTCCGGCGGCTCGGGGTTTGGTGAACGCCAAGCAGGTGAGTGGCTGTTCCAATCCTGGCACTGTCAGTAGCAGCCGGAAGCTTTTTGGTAAGGGCCCGCCAGCCAGCCAGCCAGTAACTGCTCCACCTCCTGCTTTAATGCGAAGAATTGCATTGAAGCGAGTCATGTAAAAGAGGTGGTTTGCTCCTGTTTGCACATAAGTCGCAGGAACAAAAAGCTTACGGCCGGCTACCTGCGAAGTGTAGTCCCTGCCAA